AATAACAATAAAAAATAAAAAATAAAATAAACTAAGACTAAATGTTAATAGTCCCCAACAGCAGCTCAAAAAACTCGTTGCCTTTTTTTTATCTCGCATGTGTATGATATCGTAACAAGTAATATAGTGGACAATTGAGTCATGATTATTTTTCCATGAGAACTATACTTTAATATTTCTAACAACTATTTGATGAAAACAAACAAAGAATTGTGACTTTTTGTGATTTTTTATCTAACTACTTGAAAATAGCGGGATGCACACAATGATAGATTTAAAATTCAAATATAGAATGAGACATTATGTCATAACAATTTCATCTATTGATCACATTTAAGTCTTAATTCAAAATTGATAATCTAATGTAGTGTTTTAGCTTTTCATTTATTGCGTCGTGTCTTTCAACTGTAATTTCTGGAAGTTGAACCTCATTTCACGTAATAATTGCCTCAATTTGCTCATTCTCTACAATTCTCATTGTCATTACCTGTTGTTTAGGATTTGTCACAATGTCATTTGGCAAAGTCCTTGGCTATCTTTCTGAAAGTGCTTTTGCTATTTCCTCTATCTAATTTTCCAAATTCTATATAGGCCCTTGAACTTGAAAACTTTTCTCAATCAGCATGAACTTAGTTGATACTTTAGCTATTCTGGTCATTGCTTCAATTGATTATTAGGCAATTTGTTAAAAGCTTCTTCCCATGCTGGCTTCTTTTATGGCTGCTGAAAATCAGGTGGTGCATTTTGCTGTGGTGTACCTTGAGCATCTGAGTAGTACTTCACGAAAAATTGGGATGATTTTTCCAACCTGGATTGTATGAATTGGAGTAGGGATTATTTTACTGCCTCTAGAAATTCTGCATGTAATATATATCATCAACCGATTGAGCAAAATGACTTCCCACGTTACAATCCACACTTCCATGACTAGCGTTGCAATGCTTACATTTGGTATGGCTACTTGAACTACATTCACCTGATCTACCTTCTGAGCTAATGCTGCTAATTGAATCGAGATTGTTATCAGTGAGTCAACTTCATAGATTCTAGCAGCTTTCTTCACACTTGATCTTTCTGATGGCCAAAGTACACTAGTGAATGTAAGATCATCCATGATCTGATAGACTTGATCCATCGTTCTTTTTTGTGATCGAACCATCACACGTAGAGTCAATGTTAGCCCTACTTGTCGAATTTAACCCGATACAAAAATATTGCAATGGGGACATTTTGTAGCCAATGCTGTGAACACTGACGGAGCAACCCTTTGTACCTTTCCCGTGCCTCTGGTAGCATTCTGAGTCAAATTGAGATAATGTAGAGGTTTCATCCCTGTACTTGGCACTCCTTTTAGTCGGAAAATATTTGTTCAGGAATTTCTGGCTCAGACTGTTCCAGCTAGTGATGCTATGAGGTGGAAAAGTATCCAACTATTCCCTGGCTGAGTCTCTCGAAGTATAAAGGAAGAGCCTCATGTTTATTTATTCACTTGAAACCCTGGATATTCTATTGTTGCACACATGTCTAGAAATCATGAGATATCAGCATTAGGATTTTCAATAGCTCTCCCAAAAAATTGTAGTGCGTTCTGGAACATATGGATCACGTATGTTCTTAAGTGAAAATTTGCGTGGCCAAATGCTGGATATACAATGCTAGATTGAGTTTCCACAATCGGTGGAACAATGTACTCCCCCATCAACCTTGTGTTTTCATTACCCGCAGCGTGCTGCATTTATATTCAATTCAACGACCATTTTATTTTGTATGTTTTCAGCCATTGATTCTGCTTGCTTTTTTGGTGTGTTTCTAATCGTTCTCTTATCCTAAATCTGAATGTTCATTTGATTTTCAGATCAAATAGAGGAAAATTACCATATCTTGAACTTTGCATAAAAGATCCTGAAAATGAAAAATAGAAAACGCAGTAATATTTATCTAATTTATGAAACTAACTAATAAAGTAATAAAAATTCAAATTAAAACTAGAATTAACTATAACTAATTAAATACTATAGTCCCCTACAACAACTCCAAAAACTTGATTTTTTGATTTCTAGCAAGTGATCGAATCGTGAACAAGCAAATAAAATATTGAATAAAGTATCGAACCCACGAGAACTATGTACTTAATCTAGTGTCAATTAATTTCAACCTTAATTGAATAGCCAAATTGGTTTGAGTATTTATATTAAATGATCTAATTATATTAACTAAGCTAATTATGAATGTTTTGTCAAATATGCGAGATGAATGTTAAAATTTTGAATTCCCCTTATTAGTCCATTTTTAATACAATTAAACATCATGACAATATGTATTTATTCATGTTGATCAATGTTACCTTCCTATATCTCTAGGAAAGATGCGAACATGAGAACAAGCATTAAAAACGTTAGAATATTTATAGAAATCATGCAAAACATATCAATATATCTCTATCCCCCACCTAACTTTACAATGATTGTTATAAGTGAAATTGATTCTATTATTTGTCTCGAAATCAATAAAATTCACATTTAAGATAATTGGTGATCAAGCGATCGAGAAGATATTAAAACTCAATAACAACCATCCATGAATTCACACATATTGCACATCAAAATATTTATTTTATATTAAAAACTTCATAACCAGGGTTCATCTACATCTTAACAATTATAAATTTAGCCTAGCATATGGAAAGCGGAAGAAATCATATTAATTCTACAAAACATCACCCGAATTATGAATTTGATGAATATCGAAGAATAATCTTACGGTTCTTGGATTTTTCAATGAAATCTTGAAGAATCTTCAAATGTTTCTTCAATTCTTTGCCCAAAAATGGATAAATTCTTCGCCCAAAAATGGATAAATTCTTCAATTGATTTAATTATTGTACTTGCCCCTTGATTGTATCTTACAATATTATGAATTTGTCCCTCCTTTAGTGATGTTAATTAATGAACTTTGGTATATTAGATGTATATGAGAGGTGTCTCTAATATATTCCGTTGTTGGGTATTTGTAAGAGTCGAAAATTAGTTGAAAATCATGTCCAAATTGATTTTCAAAAGAGTTCCAATTGAATAAGGAAAGTGACGTCCGAGTTCATGTTTTTGTCTCTACACAGCGTCTGTATTTTGGTTATAACTTTTTCTCCCAATATGCAATTGAAACAATTCAAAGTGCGTTAGAAAACTAACTCAAAGGGTTACAACTTTGCTAGAAGTATAATTTTTTCAATTTGAACGTTTACTATGTCAAAAATGAGATCTTTGACTAAAAATCTAAAATATAACTTGTGCGATTGAAAATTGATTTGTGATAATATTTTAATCATATTCCATTTCCTTTTGACTTTTAATTGAATCCAAGTTACTGCTAGCAATCTTCAATTATTACTTTGTGATACTAATCAAATATAAAATATTTGAAATTTGGTCTTCAAACTTTTGATTTTCACCATTTTTGCTTCTGTCTTTCAATTTCACCTCTAATTATTGAGTTTTACCTAATAAACGAAATATAAAATAAATTAAGCTGTAATTACTCAAAAGAACTGTTAATGATCTATATTTTTAGGTCCTAATTAGTGTATAAAGTAAACTTATCAGTATCACTAAAAAATTTGATTAAATTCTAAATCAAAATCAACAATTAATTTTAACCACACATTCCATAGGACTTTAAACTTTTCAACCATAAATTATATCAACTTTTATCAAAATCTGATAAAAATCTAATTTTAATTTCTACCAAATAGAGGATAAGTATTGAATAAAAAAGAATAAAAAGTAGGTCTAGAATTTCAAAAATGTACCGAAGTGAATTGTGTTATGTCCTCTGTGTTCAAAATCACATTAACCCAACCTTTAACTTGTGTCTAAACTCCAAATCAATTGCCTAAGTCCGTTATCCTAATTTTCAAATTACCTTAGAATTTAAATGAATTGTTTTTTGAAAAAAAAAAAAAACGAACTATACATGGAGGGTGTTCCGCCACGCCTTAAGCGAGAATTGGTACGGTAAAATCCTTGATAGTGGTAGGCATGGGGCACCCTATCCTCGTTGTCATCCTGTACCGGGGCTAACTGAAAATGAGATGCGTGTTTGGTAAAATTTTTAGTTGTTTATAAATTGGTCAAACTCGATTTTTATCTACACATCTCATGGAATTTTATAACTTTCACTTACTTTTAACCATGTATTTTTTGAAGCTCACTACTTATATACTCCCTCTGTCCCAATTATATAGACTGGATTTTCTTTTTATTTTGTCCCAAATATATAGGTTTGTTTCTTAATGTAGAATATTTTGTTGTGTTCATTTACCATTATACTCTTATTAAATTTTCCCCACTTAATATGCAAACTTCTTGAAATCATCCAAATACACACATTTCTCACTTCTTGGAAACATGGAACAACTCCAATTTCTTCTCTCCTCCAAATTCTTTACTAGTTCCAACAATAATTTAGTTTTACATACTGAAAATTAAATAGGTATAAATTAGGATTGATTTTGACAAAAATTAATTTTCCAAGTGACAAGAAGTTTTTTTAATTCGTGTGAAAACAAAACAATCCTGTATAATTGGACGGAGGGAGTATGAGTGTGTTTGGTAGGGATTTTTGGAGGAAGAATTGATTTTTGAATAGTGATATGATGAGAAATGCGTAGTTGAAAAATAAGAAAAAAGTATTGAAGTGATGAAAAATATTATTTTATTGAAAAATGTGTGATTGAAAATGAGAATTGATTTACCGAAAATAAAAATTTGTACCAAACAGGCTGATAAGCGCTTAAAATCTTAAACAAGCAATGTTTATCTGTAAACAATTTTCATCCCAAACGTTTCCTCGGCATCCTCAAGGCAATTCTGCAAATTGAGAGTTATGTTCATTTTTCTCAAAAAAAAATTCTGTTTATTGAAATTTCGGTGAACCCTAAACAATTGAGAATAGGAAAGCTCAGATTCGGACTTTTCTACCAGGAAAGTTCTCAACTTAATAAAATGCTGGGTGATAAATCCCAACCTACTCGGTAAGACACCAACTTCTACTTACTTTCCATTTATATTTACGAGCAATTATTCAAATTACGGTTTTGCTATGGAAATTCGAATCACTAATTTTTATGCTTTAGGAAGATGTTTATTCGATCAAATTATGCTGTAAATTTCAGTTCTTGTTTGAATTTTACGGATTTGCAGCGGTTTGACTTATTTCTATGACTGTCTTCGTATTGATTATGAGATTGTTAATTCAGTCTGAAACATGATCGATGTATTGATAGATTTTTATTTTTTATTTTAAATTAATTACTTCTCTTGAAATTTGGAATTTCATTTTTGAGCCCCTATTTTGTTATATTTACGCATTAGTTTCGAAGTTTAACAATGAGCAGTATAATAATTAAGTTATGCTTAAACAAAGTATTTTAATATGCTCCTTGAAGAAACGAGGTTTCGAAAATTTAGTTTGGCTATACAAGCGAAATAACTTTTGCAGGTATGAGTTGTTGAGCATGGTGAGAAAACACTCTCACTTGCTAGGGAAAACCATAAGTGATGAGGATGATGTCTCGGATGTGGAAATGGATTCACGATTCTGGCACGACATCATTGATTTGTATTTTGGTCGCGGTAGGGAGTCTAGGGGGCGTCAGGATGATGATCTCGTATTCTTCGTTAGTAAAAAAGTATTTTTTTTCCCTTGTAAGTGTTATCTCTATTTGGTAATATCCAAATTTTTAGCTCCTTTAATTTAGTCTATTTTTTTTGAAGGGTTCACATGTACATGGATCTACCGACATTGTGGAAACCAACTCTCCTTACTTTGTACGCAGGTGGGCTCCAAAGGTAAAAAAATATTTAATTTCTCATTTGATTGCTAAATAGTTGATTTTTTTTTAATGTGAATTATTCTTTATATGGACACATTCTTCTGTGTAAGTATTTTACATGGAAGGACTATTTTCATTGTCCTTTTTAGTACTTGTTCCATGCAGTTTTATAATTTCTTGATACCAAGAAAATATTATACTCCTAACTATTACCCATAAAAGTAATGATCAGAAAACTGTAGATGGTTTAATCTTAGTAATGCAAAAATATTTGTGAAATATATAGTTTAGTCATACAAAAGTATGAAATGTTGTATCTAGATATTTAAAAACAAAATAAAAAATTCAGCCATGCTTTTGGTTAGAGAGTTTGAATATATGTTCCTATAGGCTTGTATGCACTAATGTATGAAGCCTGTCATGGATATACTTTCTTTATACATAGGAAGGTGGGAGTTTTCTGCATGTTGAAAGTAATGTTTCAATGCCTTGGTATTTGTGAACAGAGATCAGAGATCTTTCCTAATACCGGAAGCTTAGATGTAATCTTAAGCTGCCAGTTCTTCCTCTCCTCAATAGGGAACACTGTTTACCAACTCTTGCATATACAATAAGGTCGGCACTAATGTATGAACCCTATCACGATTTTATTTTTATTTTGCCTTTACACAATGTAGAATTGACATTGTCTGCATATTTCAACGAAAATTTTGCAAGCCCATGGCATTTGTGGATGGACAAAAGAGAGACCTCTCTCATTAGTGAAACATTATGTGCAGTAGTGGAAATTGAATCTTGTAAAAACAAGAGAACAACGTAAGAACCTTAAGAATTTTAATAGAGTAGCTTGATCGTGTAAAATTTGATGATTACGAAATATGCCTAGCCCGCTTATATAAAAAAAACAAAGAGATGTAATTTTCCAATCCTAATAGGCTTACCTACTAACCATCTTCTCTGAAGAAAGAAATTAGTCTTCTATAAAGGACAAGAAACGAATAAGCTATTCCTAAGAAAACCTCATGTTCGAGTTAGAACAACAAAAGAGAAAATTAAACAACTTAGAAGGAAAGTACTCAATTTTTCTGTTGCATTTTTCAATAACATGAGCCCATGTCATGCATTATGAATGTGATATAAGAACTTTATTTCGTCTCTACTTCAATTTCTTTTTCATGGATATTTTTTTTTCACTCAATGACACTTCCAAAAAGTTGAAGATGGCAGTCATTTGTTCTAGACTTGCAAGGATCCATTTCTTCATTATGTTTTTCTCATCTCATTCTCTTCGATCAATTTTCTATTGCCCTTGATGCCATCACTGTCATATGAAACCGTGGGAGAAATTTGAGCCGTAGACTCATTCATGAAAAATCATGGTCAAAGGAAGACATCATGCTCTGAGTATCCAAATGTTTGGACCTGGCTGCTACAAGTTTCAACAAATCTATTTGCCTGTATTCCCATTCTGTTGGTATTTCGCTAGAATCTGAATTACCAGATTCTGGGTAGTCGTCGGCAGAGCTAGCTGCCACCCTGGAGTTCGTGTCTGACTTCGATGCCAAACATAGCTAATGTCTCTCGATATTTTCTCACTTTTTTCATAACTGGTGGCTCGTTTTCTGGTACCACCCTTAGTCACCAGCTTAGGAAAATTCTTCGTTCTGGTACCAATTTGGTGTACCAGCTTAAATTGAATCTTGTAAAAACAAGAGAATCTTAAAAAATATGCCTAGGCCTCTTCTTATATAGGCAAAAGAAGAGATGTAATTTCCTAATCCTAATAGCTTACCTACTATTATATCTTAGAAAGAAAAAAGATCAGTCTCCTAAAAAGAAAAGAAAACCAATCACCTACTCCCAGTAGAATTAGAAATAATATTAAAAAAATTCTAGAAATGCTAGGAATGGATAGTCTCTATCACCTTAGATGTAATTTTAGACTGTCAGTTCTTCCCCTTCTCAATTAGAAACTTTATGTATAGTAATCTCGTGTATACCATAAGTTGTGATTTGAGGTTAGCATGGCGGATTTGTAACTATCATTGAAATCTATTGCCTTAAACATCTATTCAGGGGCCACAGCAAGAGACATAAACTCTGTCCTAATCCAAGAGCTATTTGACATGGTTGCCGTAAAGGCATTTGCTAAGTTTTGGTTAGATCTGATTACAAACAAGCTATCCACAGTATTCTGCAGGGCAATTGTTCTGCACTAAATAAGGTTGTGTATGCTACTCTGCTTTCAGTTTAAGGTGTCCATTAAAGATTTGTTAGAAATGGTTTTATATAACCACAGGTATTTATATTCATACTAAATTGCATGTCTAGGATTTAGGTGTATCTCTATTTGCAACATTGCCGATATCACTTGTAACGTCACAAATTTCCTTGTATGGTTTTCCACTACGTGTCATTATTCTTTTGAATTTATAGTGCGTAAAAGAACCATAAGTTTTCCATCTAGTCAGGGGCGGAGCTACTAAGGGAAGAGTGGAAGCAATTGGCCCCACAGGAATTGGAAAAATATAATATACAGTGCTGATTGCAGAAATAATATGAGAGAAAGGAAAGGTGGAGGAGAGAAAGGGAGGGATAAAAAACTGACAATATATGGGTCTGACACCAAATATAATGGTCTCCCCCTCTCTCTTTTAGGGTGTGTTTGATCCACATTATTTTGAAAGAATATATTCTAGAATAGTAGATTGATAGAGAATTTGTGGTTGAAAAAGAAGGAAAAGTTATTGATGTGATGGAAAATATTATTTTATTGAAAAATGTGTTGTTGAAAATGAGTAGAAAAATGAGAATGAAAATTTTAATGTGTACCAAATAGTGGCTTAATTAGATTTTATCACCATTTTTCTGTCCTAAACTAAGATTTTTTTTCTTTGGTTTCATTCATTGGCAGTGAAGCCTTGTTCTTGCTATTTGTTGACTTTCATGTTTGACTAATCTTAAACAGTTTATGTTGAAATAAATTTACTTTTAAAAAGTAAATTTTAAAATAAAAGAATTTTATTGGTAGAAGTTTAGTTACGCACTATTACAGCAAGGTAAATGATACTTCTAAAGAAGTAACTTTTTTACTTGAAAGTAAAAAGATTTAAAAAAATAAAATAAAAGTAAAATCTTAAATTATCTGAACTTGTTTAGAAACAAAAAAGTGCTTCGAAATAACTTCAGTTATTCTTTAAGCTTTTGCCAAATTTATGAGAAAAATGTCAATATTAAAGATTAATTATATAGAATTACATGTTATTTTTTTAATTAACTATAAACAATTAGAGGACTCACCCGTGACATAGTTCATCAACTTGACATGAAAATTAGACTATGCAGAAGACACGTGACACTATAAGGCCCTGTTTGGTGCACATTTTTGGTAGAATAATGCATTTTGTTGATGTGATGGATGGGGAATATGTGGTTGAAAAAGAAGGAAAAATTGTTGATGTGATGGAAAATATTATTTTATTGAAGAATGTATGGTTAAAAATGAGTAAAAGAATGATAATGAAAATATTAATGTGGACCAAACAGGGGCTAAATCCGCCATTTTATTCTATCGACAAATTTTAGAAGGATTCATGATTCAATATCGTGAAAAATTATAAAAAAAAATTATATGACCTTATTTTAAAATTTCGTTTTAATTAAATTTCTCCACCATTTGACAAAATTTTTGGCTCCGCCCCTGCATCCAGTTCTTTTTTATTTATTTGCTGTAACTTTTTCTCTCTTTCACGTATGCATGAGTACTTTGTTTGTCAATTATTTTGTATTCTCTTGGTTAGACAGATTTTTTGTATTGTGAGGTTAAAAATTAAAATGTAATTTTTTTTATTTTTTAAAAACAACATAATATTAATGAAAATAAGTTAATACACTATTACAATTGTAGTCTACGCATTTTGATACTTTGAAAACGTCGTATAATTATATCATTATTAATTTTGTCAATTGGATTTTGCTACTTGTATAGTTTTGTTTACCACCTCGTTCACAAATGTTGAGTTGGCATTGAGTAAATCAAATTGAATGTAGGAAGTAAATTAATTGAAATAAAATTCAAATTTAATCTAGGAAGTAAATGAAATTCAAATCCAATTCGAAAGTAATTCAAATTACATTTAATTTATAACGATCCTAAAATTTTTTTTTGTCTCATGTAAAATTTGCTAATACAATGATGTGAATTATATCGAGAAATTTATTGTGCAAAAATAATAAACGTTAATGAAATAATTAAAAAAATAAAAAAAAAGTTAAAAGCTTCTTTTAGAGATGTACGTTTGACACACGTTTAACAATTTTCGATATCCATTTGGACTATTCGATATGACTACGATGTAGTTCTCGAAACGAGTTACTAGATAACAAAGGTAATTTGTGGATTCGACTAGTGTATGCTCGCCTACGAATTTTTAAAGTTAGTATATTATCGAAATTCTTGAAATATTAGTTTGGAATGACCTACTTTGACGCGTCGTAACTTTTACTACGGTTGAACATTTCATGTGCCATTAACGAGCGAAAAACTAGGCTCTGAGCACTTCGAAATGGTATTTAAAATGCAATATTTTAACTTCGTTTGACGTCTCATAATGCGTTTGTCAAATAACCTGTAAAGGAAACAACCATATATTTTTTGAAAAAAAAAAATTGTGGGGTCACTTGACCCCACATGACCCCATGTGGGTCCGTCCATGCTCTTGGTACTCATATTTTTAATTTAAGGCGTGTTCGGTAAAAATTAAAATGGGACTAAAATTGAAAAATTAGCCGTTATTGCTGACTTTTATTAGACGAGTGAAACCCAGTAACGGCTATATTTTCAATTTTCAATTGGATTTTAATCACTCTCAAACATGCTTTTATGTTCTTTTCATTATTTTTCTGTTTTGTCTTAACCTTTATTCGTTGATCAGTGCAAGAGAGTCATTCATACTTATGTTGACATTATTTAGGTATACATTGAATTTTTAGCACGAGTTTCATATTTTTCTTTTTTTGGAGATGATGTGCTGAAACCCAAAAAGGTTTAGATCTATCTTTTCATCAAAAATATCAATCTAGTGAATCTAATGAGTTAAAAGTAAAGTCAAAGTGTTGGTCATTGTTCGTTCCAAAATATGGATTCGACTCAATTGAAAAGAAAGAAATTACCAAAATCGAAAAAATTTTTCCAATTTTTTCATTTTCATTTCTTCCGAGTTTTAATCATTTTATTATATCAAAGAATGAAAATTCTAAGTGCTGTTTGAATTGTTTTAAATAAGATTATTGTACATTGGTTTTTTAAATGCTGAGATAATATCTATTTTTTAGTATCAGATGACAGCCCATTTCTTCTTGTTGGGCAGTTGGATGACTTAGTTGGTGAGAACTCAATAAACATAGATTGGAGACGCTCATTTTACTTGAATTTGATTGCTCATACCTCCTTCAGTGTTACAGTAGCAATTTGCAGGTAAAACTCTCATCTTTTACCCTGAATCCATAAGTTTTCCTTACGTGTTATAGGATTTGTAAGTACTTTTATATGTGGATGCTCTCTCAGTTCATGTTTTAGATGTAATGGAGATAGCAGTTTAACACTGACCTCTGTATGAGGTCAGCTGGGGCAATCCGTGATATCTAAGGGAATTGGTATGGAGACGTAAAATTTCAATTTATTTTCACTTTTACACTGGACATGGACACTCTTCTAGGATTCTTTAGCACTATCTAATCCAGAATCATGTACTACTTGAGCCACATCTTTGAATGCTTTATCTATTTATCTAGTCGCTTATAACAAACATTTCTTTTAAAATTCGAAGTCTCTACCTTTTTCTTTCTTTTTGCTTTCCAGTCATCAGGTTCTTCAACAATATCAGACTGGAAAAGACAGACCATTGTCTCCCATTTACAAGGTATTGCAGTTTTTCACTATAGAACTGTGGTTGTTCCAAATCTTTTTAGTCTTCCTGTTTAATGGTGCTGTTTTCCCTTTATTTATTCCCATTTTACTTGCATACAATACTGAAGCTCCTGAATCCACAAACAGAGCCAATCACTCTAAGATTAAGGCTGCTGTTTGGAGTGATCTGTAAATCGAAAAATCATAAACTGCATGCAAGGAGCGATACCGAAGGGAGGGAGAGGAGGTTTTAAGATGCTCGGCCAATAACTATGGAAAGTACTTACTAGCTCGATTAAGCAAAGACAGAGGTTGCCTTCGTCATGGGAACATCCTCAATGGTTTGTGAGCTTGGAGAACTATTATGGGATCGATGTAAACATCATCAGTAGTCTTTCCTACATTGCTTTCTACTCTGAAGAATTGGTGTAAAAATATGATATCCTTGAGACAGCCCATATATTCTCTAATCAGGCTTTTACCTGTACTCTATCACCTATAGATTGTTTGACTCCCATGATAGTCCTGTCCTTCAACCATACAAACAAAGAGAGAAAGAAAGAAAGCAAAGAAGCAATAACCATATAAAAGAGATTATTTTATTAGATGATTCTATACCTCCTCTTACGATCTATGTTGACAAAATAATACTTCACTTTCATAGCCCCCTCTTTGACATGGCAAAAATTAAGTAAAAGCTGCTTTGACTTGCCTGAGAAAAAGTAAAAAAGCCGCTACGCAATTTTAGGTAGTAAATGAGAAGATGACCTACAAACAGTTTCACATTGGAGTTTGTATACTGGTTGTCTGGCTCTGTGGCACAGAGCACATATATCAACCATCTCGAAATCTGTTACAAGCTACTGAAACTTATGTGAAATTTTGATTTCTGGAATCAAAACCTCAGCACTATTTAATGTGTCCGCATTACATAATCCGTAAGTTCTTTTTTTTTTTCCACGTTTAGTGTCTAAAACCAGAACTTTATGATTTTGCATGTCATCAGTAAAAAGAGCCTTCATAAGTTCATATTGTCATTTTCTTACTAGTTTAATAGATAACTAAGGGAGATTCCTTCACCATGGCTACGTAGAGTTTAGATTGTGAGTTCTCTAAACCGCAGTTGTGTCTTCTATCATGAGAAGATATGTTGTTTGACAGTCAGGTTGTGCATGAGTGATTCTGAATTTTTAGGAATGATCGGCTTTCTTCCTTCTGTATGAAACGTTTATCTCCCTACGATATTTTGTGATGTTGCTGCTTCTTTCTTTCTTTCTTTATTTTTGCTGTACTTTTCTGCTTGACCTTCTTCTTTGCCTCATTTTTATAGTTCTTCAGCGATTCATGCAGTCTAGTGTTTAATTCTCACTTCATATAGATGTCATCATTTACCCATGCTCTCGATCATTCTATTGATAATTTTTTTCTTTTTGTACATCCCAAAAGAGTTTTGTTTTTCATTTGACATTGTCAAAACATTTTTATCTTATTATCTATGCAAAATACAAAATTTGAAGTGAAAACAATTATCATTTTGTTACATGTTTGATATTTTGAATTCAAAATGTTGGACAGGTTGTGAAGACTGTATATGCATCCCCAAGTCGTATCAACTTTCATTTGGATTCAACGAAGGCAAGTATTCTAATTTCAAGTAAACGAACAAAGTGTATTGTAACTTTCCTTTCATTTAATTATTCCTGTCTTGCATATGAATTCAGGAAGTAGAAACAACTCCTGCCTATCCAGATATATGTTTTGCAGTTGATGACTTTGATTCCACTTTTGATGCAGTGGTAAGGTGCTTTTTTAGTGATGTTCACCGTTTGATTTATGTACAAATTCATGTGCTTCTACATTATCTTAATTTTTATCTTCCTAGGGGATGTGGCTTCTCCTATGAAAGTTGTTTAGATCATTAATACACTTTTACGCCATAGAAAACCAGTAAACTTTATTTTATTTTATTTTTTTTCCCGGTGAGAAGGTGGTGCATTCTTTATACTTGTTAATGAGAAGAGACTTGGATCTCTGGCAGATAATGTTGGGTGGGTGTTTGTCTCTGTTCATTTTCCCTTGAGTAATATTGACATGTATTTTTTTTTCGTTCTTTTGGATTTTTTTCTTGGGGGGAGGAGAGATGGGAGTGAGGATGATGAAGTTCATGCTTTTATGAGGTTCACATGTTCTCATTTTTTTCAATGGTTTTTATTTATCTTAGATAGAAAGTATAATTATATAAGTGATAGCTTTATTTCTCGACTTTTGTTTATGTTTTGGGATTCTCCAAGGGTAAAATGGTGGCCTTCACTAAAACTCTTTTTGCAATTTTCTTCTGGTCACACACACTGTTGCTGGAATTTTCTCTTGTTTCTCCTAATTTCACTTTTTGTTGGATATTTTACAATAAAATGATATCATAGATTGGGAAAATGATTATGTTTGTTTATAGGCCCTCAATGTGTATTCCCTATACATACTACTCTGCACCACAGTTGGTTAATTTTTCGAACCTTCTCTGCAATTCTAGTTACATAACTTGGCTTCATTTTTGCATTATGCTGGGGAAGTGCTGAGAAAAGGAATAAAAGTCTAGACATTCGCTTTTATGTATGAGGTAGTTGTTCAATTTGTGTTTCATTTCTACCATTTCTAAAAGCTTAACCTCACAGGTCTTGAACGATACAGATCACTGCTATTGTGTCCTGCTTAATGCTCATGATGAGGCAGCATTTCCCAGTGAACTAGCAGAACAAGTTTCTAGTTCTGACACTTCCTTGAAGACTGATAAAAGCCCCAGAAAGATGAACTCCAAGGTTTTGAGATATTCATGTGCTTATTGCATGTACTAGCACTTGTTTCCTTGAGTTTTTCTTTGTTTCTAGGATATCATGGACCTGCATATCTAAGTAGTCACTGTTGCCTTCACCTGCATGTTTTATCACTGCAAACTCGTATTTCTACTACTCATGATGACAAATGTGCAGCCATGTAAACTATGCTCAGTAGACTAATATCAATCTCTCTCTCTCTCTCTCTCTCTCTCTCTCTCTCTCTCTATATATATATATATATAGGGGTGTTTGTTTTTTTTGAGAATTGATTCTCAAATCAATTCTCATTTTCAACCACACATTTTTCAATAAAATAATNACAGTAAATCAATTCTCATTTTCAACCACACATTTTTCAATAAAATAATATTTTCCATCACATCAATACTTTTTTCTTCTTTTTCAACCACACATTTCCCATCATATCACTATTCAAAAATCAATTTTTCCTCCAAAAATCTCTACCAAACAAGCGCGCACACACACACATATATATTTGAAGGACACTAAAAGCCCTATTTTTAAATTTTTTTGGATTTCAATAAATTAGTTAAAATTTTAATAATAACTATTTAAAAGAAGATGCAGCATAATGTGCGTAAATTGTAGGATCTTCACTTTTAATTTGTTCATACATACTATATGCATTTTTGATCCATGACTATTTCATTTTGTTTCATCTAGTGATATGAAGTACAGCAAATAATAGCTCATATTCAAAATATTTCACCAACAAAATTCCAAACCAAAGCTAAACAGAGAATTAATTTTATTGAAAAACTAAAATATTACTACAATAAAAATATGACATACATATTTGTATGATTATAATTGACATGTCCTCACATATTCGGGTCCTGCTTTCTTGAAAAGTTACATATTGATTTGTCTTTTTTTCTGTGGTAAAATAATGTATGCTATGATAAAAATGGTTTAAAATGCATTTTCAAATATGTATAAAATAGTTGTATAACAAATTATACATCTTTGATATGCTTTCTAAATTGATATGATCATTTCAAGTTACATGAAAAATGTCACATTTCTCATTCGAGTATCAAGCATTAGGCACAATTTCTTCATGCATTTTAGAAGAGTTAGGATACATAGCCTAAAATATTATAATCAGATTATTAATTAACAAACATTTTGACAATTTATCTTGTAATTGCAGATCACACTTTTCTCTGGCTTTGTTAACTACCAAATGGTTCGAGAAGCATTTGACGGTAAATTACTTTGTTACATCCTAGATAACCACCTTTTTATGTTCCTGCATAGTTTCATTTCACGTTATTGGTTTATTACAACTGCTTGTTACATTTGAAATGCTGAACCCACGTATATCAGTAAATGATTTATGAGCAAAATAAATTATCAATAATCACATAATTGGACAACATATTCTGATGGAACTCGAAATTGAGATCTTATGATCCCAAGGCCTTTAAACTGGTATTTTTACCCATAGTCCAAGATCTTACTTGCATATTATGTACAAATGTAGAGTACTTGTTTCTTCATCTGTTCCTGGGTCTACTGGTACTATTGCCAACATGCCATGAAATTGGTGTTCCCGTGCACTTTAGACTAGAAAATTGTTTTGCTAGAGTTACTTTCGTGGTTATTACTCCTAATGGATGTGAGATTGATTGTTTGCCTGGATCTTTGCTTTGCTCAAGTCATTAAAATGTGATGGATGCATCCAATACAACCATAAATTTGTTATTCGTAATTGGACTCAAAAATGCAAAAACAAACTGAGCAAAAGTTAGGTTGGGGATTTTGAAAGAATAAATGTAAA